CAAATTAGGAAAGGAATGTGTAAGGGATGCATCCTGTCCCTATATACCTTTTCAATATGTATGCAGAACAGATCATTTGGGAAGCAAGGCTTTATGAGGAGGAGTGTGGCATCAGGATTGGAGAAAGACTCATCAACAACCTATGATATGCAGATGATACAACTTTTCTTGCTGAAAGTGAGGAGGACCTGAAACACTTGCTTCAAAAGGTCAAGGACTGTAGTTTGCATTATGGATTGAAGGTCAACATCAAGAAGACAAAGATTCTCACCCCTGGAAAAATTGGCAACACAATATTACATGGAGAAGAGATTGATTGAGGTTGTTAACTATTACAGCTTGCTTGGATCCACAATGAACATTCTTGACACCAGCAGTCAAGAAATCAAAAGAAGAACTACACTGGAAATATCTCCTGTCATGAACCTCTCCAAAGTACTGAAGAGCAATGATGTTGGTCTAGCTACAAAGGTGCACCTAGTCCAGGCCATGGTTTTCTCAATTACTTGTGATACTTCAGAGAATTAGATAATGACTAAGGATGACAGAAGAAGAATGGATGCCTTTGAGTTGTGGTGCTGGAGAAGAGTCTCGAACATACTATGGACTGCCAAGAAAACAAATAGGTCAGTCTTGGAGAGGGTGAAACCAAATCTCTCCTTGGAGGCTAGGATTTTGAAGTTCCACCTCACTTACTTTGGGCACATGGCCAGGAGAGATTGGTCGTTGGAGAAGGATTTCATTCTTGGAAGGGTGGATGGACAGCATAGGAGAGGGAGATCCCCTGAATGAGATGGATTGATATAGTAACTGAGGCAATAGGGGTTGGTGTGTCACAGTTAGTGAGACTGGCTCAGGACAGAGAAGGGTTCAGAGATGCTGTACATAGGGTTGCTATATATTGCAGACCACTCAATGGCACGTAAAAACAATAACATACTATGGCAGGTTTGGAAGTTGGAGAGCATTTAATTCCTAAATAACATGCCTCCAGAAACTCTATGAACTTTGATAAATGTTAATAGTTGTAGAGAGGCTTCAGGCCTTTTGTTCATAGGTTTGCTATGAGTTATGCTTGACTTGAAGGCAATCAACAAAAACAATTATTAATAGAATGTCAAAGGTTAAGAATCTGTATTAAAAAGTTATAACTAAATGAGTAATAATAAGAATATCCATGCTGTAAAAATTCTTTAGCAGAGGATGGAACATGCTATAAATACATATCTCTTGAAACTTTTCCATGCATATTATTTATTGAAGTACAATAAAAAATTTGGTCTGCTCAATTTAATAAATGAGACGGTAACACAAGACTAACATTCAATGTATTTAAAATGGTTACAAGCCAAATATCTGTTTTCTTCTAGGTACTTTGTTGATTATTTTTAACTTGAAGCTTTTACTTAATGGAGAACCAGAGATGGATATTAAAACTGACCAAGAAGATATTCTGGTAGCTGGAGCTCTTGATGAGTAAGTATTTGATACAGTATTTCTCAATAATGACTAAAGTATGGACTTAGGAGCTCTTAGTCTTGCTTTTAGACCTAGACCACTGAGCCTCGTAGTGAGACAATTCATGTTACCAACTTAGAAATTAATGGAATTAAGTTAGTAGCTCATAAACCTAATTGAGCCTTAGGGTGACCTGGGAAGCTTCCTAAGAAGCAGAGAATCCTAGGCAGTTAAATTGATTGTCTAAAGAGCAGAAAATCAGGCATAGGGGCACAAGATTATGAACATCTCTCTGAAAGGGCCAGAGAGTATGAAGAACACAATTCCTCACTTCCCCAGAGCAGAAAGCAGATAAAGAGCTCACAGCCCAGCTCCATAGTACCTCTAGAGCCACACCAACAGCAAGAGGTTTGTTTATTCCATGCTGACTCACAGATATGCAGTTGAGGCACTGGAAATAGTATTTATTAGGGAAATAAATTGGAGAGTAGGGGAGTCAAAGTTTATCACTCAATACAAGTCCAGGTTTTGGCCCAAGTTCCAAGGCACAATTCCTCAATTAGTCAAGGCTCTGTCTTTATTTGAGCAGTCAAATCCAAACCATCCAGCAGTGTTTGGCTCAGAGCAGTTATAAGCCAGATTCTCCTTCAAGCAGCCAGCAAGAACAGTAAAAAACTTTTTACTGTGCCCAGCACAAATTCACGAAGCCTCAGGTCACATCTTGTTTCTCCACAACAATACCACAGTCTTTCCACCACCATCACCAAGATCTCACTCTCAACAGAGTCTTGCTGCAGACTCCCTCAAGTCCTGCCACAAGTCTTGCTTGTCTCAAGTGTTGCTGCCCAGTGTGGGAAGTACTCTTTCTCTTATCCTAGTCCCACAGCTGTTAGCAATTTGCAACATCATGTACCTTCGATTAACGTAGATGGTTACCAGACAAACTGTAATGGCTAAAAAAAGGCAACTTTTAGCCTAACATCACACCTGTCTTGTTAAAAACAAAACAAAACAATACAAAACAAAACAAAAACCACCCTCAAATTCATTGCTGTAGAATCAGGTTGTCAGTTGCGTAGGAGGAGATAGTCTGTTTTCCTCATGTGGAGCTGCTAATGGTTTAAAATACCAGAAAACCACTGCCTTTGGGTTAGCAATGCAGCTCCCTATGAACTGCCAGTAGATAGAGGTCCCTTGTTGTCCAAGGGTCAACTAAATTTTATCTGGAGTTTTGTCTTTGTGGGGAATCAGTGTCCCTAATCCTTGTTTTGGTCAAGAGTTTATGCTAGTGTTCAAAATAAAAAAAAAAGTTTATGCTAGTGTTCGATAGAATTATGAGAGCCAAAAATATAAGTCACATATGAAATTTTAAATTTTTTATCTGTGATGCTAAAAAAAGTAGAAGGAACCTGAGAAATTGTAATAATATGTTTTGTTTAACTCAGTACATTGAAAGTATTATCATTTGGATAGAAAAATATTAACTCATAGTTTAATGCTTTATTTCTTTTTAATCTTTTATTTTATATTGGTGTGAATACTAAATTTATATACAATATACTTAATTAATGTACATTGTATTACACACATTCTTTAATTCATAGTGTGTTTAATGAAATTAATCACCATTGATCTATGCCCACTATCACTCCATCCTTTCAGATCCCCACTGGATCTCGCCTAATTCCTTCACACATTCCCTCTGCCCACAAACTCTGTGACCCCATAACTTTTCTCTTCCCTAACCTCAGGCCTCATTGCCCCTCTCCACTTCCCACGTTGGACTTATTTCCACATCTTACTAGTAGTTTCCCTCTATTTTTACAATAAAGACCTTATGTAGTATTTGTCCTTAAGAGACTGAGTTTACT